TGTGGACCTTAGCGAGCTCCCTGAAGGCGACTTCGACGGTGACGAAGACGACTGGCAGCGCCGCGGCTTGCTCGAACGACATGGTCACCGGCTTGATGGCCATCAAGTGGGCATCCGTGGCCACATACGTTCGCAAACACCCTGGCGCAACACCGTACACATCATCGCCCACACTCAGATGCGTCACACCGGCTCCAACACTCACGACCGTCCCCGAGCAATCGCCGCCAGGCGGACCCGGGTCGCCAGGATACAGACCCATCACGTTCAACACGTCCCGGAAATTCAATCCAACCGCACGCACACGCACTTCAACGCAGCCAGCAGCGGGAGACTCGCGAGCATCGTTGGAGACTGGGCGCACTTTCAGGCTGGAGAGGCTGCCGCGCTTGGCCAGTTGCAGCTCGCAGTGCCCTCTCACAGGCAGGGATGACTTCGCCATTCGAGAGTAAAAGAGGTTGTAAGCTGCCGGCGAGTCGGTGCGGTTGTAGCGCACTGCAATCTCCGGCTCGTAGTCCTTTGCCTCCTTGGGCCGCTCATGGTCGATTGCCCACAGAAGCTGCTGGAGTGATGACTCCGCGCCCGATGTCGGTTGATCCAGATCTACGCAGCTCATGCGAATCATGCGTCCGAGGCCATTCTCGGACTCCAACCGTGCCACCTTTGCGAAGCCCCACAAGCCGCCATGTATGGCATGACGAGCCAGGAGATCTCCTGCATGACATAGCAGACCACACGACAAAGAAGGACTTAAGCCCTCAAGCAGTGGCAACTGTGTTGATCCGTTCATACCTGGTTCGTCAGTGCCGCGGATCTCACAATCCTGACTGCCTGCTGTGGCGAGCCACACGTTCGGGAGCTCCATCGTCCTTCCCAGACGGAGAAGGGACTGCGTCAGCTCGAGAACCTCACCCATCACGTCAAGCACAACGTGGCTGTCCTCGAGAGGGCGTGAATCGACGATCAGTCCTCCAAGGTAGATGATGCTGTCCCATCGTAGCTTGTCTCCGTCCTTCTCTGACAAGAGCTTGTCGAGGTTGATTGCCGATGGCATGTCACCGTAGCAGATAAGCCGGGTCTCTTCAAGCGACACAGCCGCTGAAAAGAAGCTCTCTGCAGTCTGTTGCCAGTCAGCGGCAGCACCGAAGACGAGGCAGTTCCACTTGGCCTTAAGGGTGGTCTCCTCTTCGACGGGGGCTGCCTGCACCTTGGGCTCCTGTGTGTCGTCTTCCTCAGCAGGGATGGCCTGTTGCTTCCATGACGTCTCCCACAGAAGATCCCTGGGAATCTCTGCGGGGGCTGTGGTCTCCATCTGACGCAGACTCAAGTTGGTCAAGACAGCTACCGGCCGTCCGAGCCTGTCCTGGATTGTCACGTCGATGACCACACCATTGTCGTCCTTCTGGGCCAGCTTCACGTGACTCCAGACCTCCTGGGATGGATCAAGCTTGGCAAGACAGACCCTCTCCGCACCCACGGGCACGAGAACAGTCTTCGACTTGGCTCGAACGTTGTCTTTGGGCTCGATTGCCGCCAGGATGCCGGCAGTTGTCTGGAATGCTCCATCAAGAAGAGCAGGATGGAAGCCGAAGCCCCTCTCGAACGCGGCAGTGGCTGGCAGCTTGAGGCGTGAGATGGCCTCGTCGTCTCCCACGGCGATGTCCTGCACTGTCTGGAAGCGCCCTTCGTACTGAAGTCCCAGGGCCTTGAGTTGCGAGTAGAAGGATGAGATGTCGGCGGTGTGAGGACACCGCTCCTTGACTGTGCCGACATCCTCCACTGAACTGGTGATCGCCTCGTCTGGAGGAGCGAATGCCGTCAGCCGAGCCGACCCGTGAGCCGAGAAATCATCCTCGCCCTCTGCTCTTGAGAGGAACTCGATGCCCAGCGGTGGAGCGCAGCAGTAAGTCAGATTGGACACCTCCTCGCCACTGACTGTGATGCGGACCGTCTGTTCCTTGTCCTCCTCAGACCCACCAGATCTTCTCTTGAGAAGCCGCAGCGGCTTCTCGAACATGACCTCTTCAAGACACACGAGATCATAAGCACTCCTCTTCTTGCCGGACAGATCGATGCTCTGGCCCAGGGGAGGCTCCATTGCGGCCGCTCCTGCCGAGCTCATGGCTTCGAGGAAGCCTGCGCCTGGCATCAAGGCGGCTCCGAGGACGATGTGCTCTGAGATAAGCGCACGCACCTCCTTCCGCAGAACGCCCTCGAAGGTGGACCCTTTTTGGAGCACTTCGCGCTTGCCAAGAACAGGATGTGCCACCTCGACCCACGGGAAGAAGTCATGCTTCCATTGGTGTGCGCCGGACTCCTTGAACGAGACGCATTCGACAACATCTTTCATGCAACCCATCGCGTCGGTCTTCGGATCGATAGTCGGCAGCCACTGGAGGTCGAGTGCCTGTGCGTCGGCCCTGACGCACTGTTTGCCCATGTTGATCAGGGTGGGTTTGGGTCCGACTTCGATGAGTACTCTTGCGCCGGCCTGCTGTATGGTGGTCTGCATGCCATCGAGGAAGCGG